GATTTCCAAAACATATTTATTCACTGTAAACTAAGTTCTTTTGAATGAGATATGCATAAAATACCAAAATACTACCCAGCTCAAAAGCAGATTTCGTCACTTACCAAAAGGAAGTGTGTGTGTGTCGGATTCCAGCCAAAAGGACTTAGTTTTTCTCTTGATTTTGAAGAACAACTATTTAGCTAATGTTATAATGTTCTTAGACTTGAGGGAAAACGAATTCAATCAAAGGAGGTCTAAAGATATATATCTACAAAAGTTATCCTTGTCACATGGGCAGATGTCACCAAAAGGGGCTGCCCAATCAAATAGATGGCTGCCCAAAAAGCATACATATATAATTATATTTATGTACTTTATACCCACACTTCCAATGTATAAGTAAGTATAATTAGATAATTACACAAATACCCCCATACAAAACCTTAATTTACGATAACAATTTATGCTAAGCAAGTTTGCAAATCACAACATTTCAAGTTTCAAAAATGAGAATAAAAGATATTCTAGTAATTACGAGATGATGTAACGACATGCGACTATTTGTTTAAGCATTTAGGGGTGTTAGACTAAACATGAAAAGTTTCATCTACGACTCTAATCTTCAATAACACTCTCTAGAACCCTAACTCTAGGCTCTAGTTTAGTCTACTAATTTTCGGGGCATTACAGACCGTCAATTTAGCTTAGGCGGATCCACTAGCTAATAACCTATGTGGGCACATAGTTAAGGGATAGGGAGATTGCTACTAGATACCCCGCATCAACCCACGGTTAAGCATCCATCTCAAGAGATTGCTATTAGATACCCCGCCTCAACTCACGGATGAGCATCCATCTCAATACATATCCACTGGGTGCTTAGCATTATTCCCCACGGAGTACTTAACATTCATTACTTTAGTTCATTAGAAATGGGATATAGAGATTGTTACTAGATACCCCACCTCAACTCACGGATGAGCATCTATCTCAAGCCCAACATTCATTAAAATGAGATATAGAGATTGTTACTAGATACCCCGCCTCAACTCACGGATGAGCATCTATCTCAATCCCAACATTCATTCATTAAGATAGCTCATATTTATATGCCTAGAATGCTAATTATGCTCGCATTTACGCCTAGTTTGAATTCAAAATGTATTTGTTTGTAGTCTTATCGAGTCATTTGCTTATTTATGAGCTAACCAACATGATTAGTTGTGTAGGTATGCTTAATGGGAGAAACGAGCACAAAAAGGGATAAAGGAAGAAATATGAAGATTCGAGTCAAAAGAGAACAAGGAAGAAGCTGAGAAAAATGTACCAAGGCATTTACGTGTTATCTCCGCGTCGCGCGGTTGAATGCAGAATATGGGTTGCAAAAATCAACTTCTAGGCAGAACACTTCGTGCTGCTTGCGTGTTGCGCAGAAGGCAAAGGTATCGTGGACTCTAAATTTAGAAGTCATCGCGTGTCGCGCGCCTGAGTACCAGATTTGGCCGTTTTGACTTTTAGTATAAATAGGGTTTTATTTTATTTTATTAAGGATCTTTTTCTGGGTTTTAAAAGACGACGATTTGGAAGAACGTTTTTCTTCAGTTTTAGGGTTATTTCTTAAACTCTTTTCCTTTCAATCGTTTGATGATTCATACCCATTATATGATTGAATGTTGGACTATGAGTAGCTAAATACCCTAGTTCTAGGGTTGTGGCTACATGATGATTGCAATTGATTGAGTTTTGTTAGGTTTATTATTGACCATCACATGAATCTTTCTTGTGTTCTTATTTTCCGTATTTCATGATTGATCAGTATAAAAATAAATTTATTGTCCAAATTGAACTCGGGAGAGGAATAAGAGGATAGAACGTGGGACATAAGGAGCTTGTTGAACTCTAAATAACTAGGGTTGATTCGTTTTTAGGATAGGGATATACCTAGAAACCTCGCTTGGATCACCATACATGAAGATAACTTAATGCTCGGTAGGTAATCAGTCTATCCCTGCTCAAGGATGTAGTTAGGGTGTTATCTATCGTAGACGATTAGAGGTCGGAGACCATGATCATACATCTTACCATGTGATTCATTGATTCGATAGTTAATAATTACCCATATAAATGATATTGATTGCATGAATCCTGATAGAAGCTGCAGCCCTGGATCTTTCCCAAATCATTGTTTGAAACCCGTGAAACTGAATCTTGTATTTACATTTTGTTTTAAAATTTAGAAATGGAAATAAACAACCCTTTAAATCTGGAAATACATTTGTGGTTAATTGAGAACTAGAGAAATTGATAGTATCTAAGTGTGAGTCCCTGTAGGTACGATACCTGGCTCTCGAAAAGAGCCAATTTATTACTTGTACGATCACGTGCACTTGCGTGTACGATTAGACCGCAACAAGTTTTTGGCGCCGTTGCCGAGGACTTTAGAATTAGAAAGTATTTGAATTTTTCTTATTTCTGAAGTTGAAACGCAAGTGTTGACATCTTGATCTTAGCATTCCATTGTTGCATATTGTTTTGAAACTCCAAACTGGACGACGATTAAGGATTGTTATCACCTCTTTCAGAACCTAAAAGATTCGTACACTTACATAGAAGGCAGAGACGATTAGCATATCCGGTTCCCCTAGTTATAGGTGAGCTAGAATTTCCGGGACCAAAAACCGAAGAAGAAGAACTTGAGACAATGGCTGCTGAGTTGAAAGTACGAGACGTGGCAATCCCACTCCCATCAATGTGACTTTGTGCATACAGAAACCTGAACCTGGTGGGAGATTTGTGTTAAAGCAGAGTATGGTGCAAATTTGCACCTGAATGGGCAGTTTACTGGTCTTTCACATGAGGATCCCACAGTTCACATTCAGAACTTCCTTGAGATCAGTGATACTTACACTCCAACTTAGGTGAATAAAGATTACGTGAGGCTCACCTTATTCCATTTCTCTCTGCTTGGGGAAGCAAAAAGATGGTTGAACTCAGAGCCTGCAAATTCAATTACCACCTGGGACGATTTGGGACAGAAATTCCTCATCAGATTTTTTCCATCTGGGAAAACAGCTAAACTGAGGAGTGATATTCTGAGTTTTAGGCAGAAGGGTGGTGAGAACTTGTACCAAGCTTGGGACAGGTTTAAATCGATGTTGATGAGTTGCCCTCATCATCATCAATCTAATGAGGTGTTAGTCCATACCTTCATTGAAGGGTTGGAGCCTAACACTAAGATTTTGCTTGATTCAGTTGCAGGTGGACAGGCCTTAGAGAAGACTTATGCAGAAATGTTCACCTTGTTGAACCGGATCTTTCAGGGTAATTCGGAGTGGAACGGAGGGGGAATGAAACCTATAGTATAGAAAACTGCAGGTATGCTGGAAGTAGATGCGATGAGAGCTCTAACTGCACAGATTTCTGCTATGGAGAATATGAAGAGTACATATTTCAGCAACATGGCATTGGGACAACAACATGCGCAGGTAAATGCAGTTCAACAACCACCGTCTTGGTATGAGATCTGCGAAGGTAGCGATCACGGTGCAGAGGTATGTAATGCAAACCCAAATTCTGTTAATTTTGTAGGGAATACCCAGAGAGGAGGAGACCAACAAAACTATGGAAATTCTTATAACCCAAGTTGGCGTAACCACCCAAACTTTTCTTGGGGTAGAAATCAGAACCAGGGACAAGGGTAAAACCATTATAGGCCACAATGTAATGCCAATGGTTATCAACCACAAGCACAAAGGGAGCAACCTAAGCAGCAAACCGAAAACATGAGTCTGGAGGAGATGCTAAAAAAGATTATGGCTGATCAAGCCCAGTTAGCTGCTGATGTAAGGAATAATCAATTAGCTACACAGAATCTGGAGAAGCAATTTGGGCAGTTTGCTAGTGCCCAAAATTCACGACCGCAAGGAGGTTTGCCTGGAAACACTAACCCAAATCCTAAACAGGTGAATGCAGTAAGCACACGCAGTGGTTTGCAATTGGAGAAGTTTACTGCTAAGGAAAGAAACACTGAAGTTATAAACACAGAGAGTGAACCTAAAGAGGGCGAGCTTAAGGAGAATGAAGTAGTTGCACCGGAAGAAAACGTGCAACCAATAGTGAGACCACCCCCTCCATTTCCTCAAAAGTTCAAGAAACAAAAGAAGGACAAATGTTTTGGTAAGTTTCTCTCTCTCCTGAAACAAGTTCACATTAACTTGCCATTGGTGGATGTTTTGCAAGGTAAACCCAGGTATTCTAAGTACGTGAAAGAGATCGTAGCAAACAAAAGGAGGCTGACAGAGTATGAGACTGTGGCACTTACTGAAGAGTGCAGCTCTAGAATTCAGAACAAGCTTCCCATTAAACTAAAAGATCCGGGTAGTTTTACTATGCATATTACTATAGGGCAAAGCATCCATACTCGAGGGTTGTGTGATCTAGGAGCTAGTATAAACTTGATGCCAACTTCTCTGTACAAAAAGCTGGGGTTGGGTAATCCTAAACCAACTACCATAATTTTGCAGTTGGCGGATAGATCTGTACAAATGGTATCTCTAATTTTCCCAGTAGACTTTGTAGTATTGAATTTCAAGCCTAATCCTGAGATCCCTTTCATCTTAGGACGACCTTTCTTAGCGACTGGTAGGGTAATGATAGATGAAGCAGCTGGGAAGCTTACTATGAGAGCTCATGATAAAGTGGAGGTGTTTGATGTATACAAAGCCTTAAAATTGCCAGTTGTGTATGAGGAGTTGTCTTCCATAATCGTGATAGATCTTGAGGCAGAAGCTAAATATATTACAGCTAAGGATCCTCTAGAGCGAGTGTTAGTGGGTGATGACATATATGGGGATGCTGAGGCACATGAAATGGTGCAATTCCTTGATGTGTCTCTTATGGTTACTGTTGGAGAGCGCTGGGAGCCTCTGAATAGGGTGTTGGGTCCTCCACCTAAACCCTCCATTGAAGAAGCGCCCAAGTTGGAGTAGAAAACACTGCCAGCCCACCTCAGGTATGCATTTTTGGGTGAAGATGAAACTTTACCGGTTAATTTGTCTGCAGCATTATCTGATGAACAGATGGAAGCCGCACTACTCATTTTGAAGAAGAGGAAAGCAGCTCTGGGATAGCAAATGTCTGACATCCATGGTATTAGTCATGTACTGTGTATGCACAAAATATACATGGAAGAAGGGTACAAGGCAAGGGCACAACATCAGCAGAGACTAAATCCATTGATGAAGGATGTTGTCAGAAAAAAAGTCATCAAGTGGCTGGATGCAGGGATTGTGTAATCTAATAGTAAATGGGTAAGTCCAGTGCAGTGTGTGCCTAAGAAGGGAGAAATGACAGTTGTGACCAATGAGAAAAATGAGTTGATCCCCACAAGAACAGTAACTGGGTGGAGGATATGCATGGACTACAGAAAACTCAATTAACCCACCATGAAGGACCACTATCCGGTACCGCTCATTGATCAAATGGTAGACAGATGGCTGGCCAAGAGTATTATTGTTTCCTTGATGGTTATTCAGGGTATAATCAGATCGTCATTGCACCTAAGGATCAAGAGAAGAAGACATTCACCTGCCCATATGGCACGTATGCGTTCAAACGCATGCCATTTGGCTTGTGCAATGCCCCAGCCACATTTCAGAGATGTATGATGGCAATCTTCCATGATATGGTGGAAGATTTTGTTGAAGTATTCATGGACGATTTCTCGGTGTTTGGTGAGTCGTTCGAACTTTGTTTATCTAATCTTGATAGAGTTCTTGTTAGGTGTGAGGAGACCAATCTGGTGCTGAACTGGGAGAAGTTTCACTTTCTGGTCAGAGAAGGAATTGTGTTGGGGCACAAAATCTCCAAGAGTGGGCTAGAAGTAGACAAAGCGAAGGTGGAAGTGATTGAGAAGTTGCCACCACTAATATCAGTGAAGGGAGTGTGAAGCTTCCTTGGACATACTGGTTTTTACAGAAGGTTCATCATGGACTTCTCTAAAACTGCAAGACCTATGTGCAGCTTATTAGAGAAAGAGATGAAATTTATGTTTGATGAAAAATGTTTGCAGGCTTTTGAGATATTGAAACAGAAGTTGATTGAGGCTCATATTCTTATTGCTCCAAATTGGGAGCTTCCCTTCGAGCTGATGTGTGATGCTAGTGATATAGCAGTTGGGGCAGTGCTTGGGCAGAGAAAGGACAAGGTGTTTCACTCTATCTACAATGCGAGCAAAACACTTAACGCAGCCCAATCGAACTACACAGTTACTGAGAAGGAGATGTTGGCATTGGTGTTTGCATTCAACAAGTTCAGGTCATACTTGGTGGGAACCAAAGTGATAGTCTACACTGATCTTGCGGCCATTCGGTACTTGGTCAACAAGAAGGATGCCAAACCTAGGCTGATTAGGTGGATCCTGCTGCTACAAGAGTTTGACCTCGAAATAAGAGATAGGAAGGGAACTGAGAACCAAATAGCTGATCATCTGTCCCTCCTAAAGGATTCGTCTCATGTGAAAAATGAAAGGCAGATTCGTGAAGAGTTTCATGATGAGCAGTTGCTTGCTTTGGACATTTCTCAGGTGGCTTGGTATGCAGACATTGTAAATTTTCTGGTGAGTGATTTATTTCCACCTGGGGCGTCAACACATCAGAAGTAGAAGTTAAAGTATGATGCCCGCTTTTATATATGGGATGAGCCTTATTTGTTCAAGCAGGGTCCGGATCAGATGATTAGAAGGTGTATAGCTGAGAAGGAGGTGACACAAGTGTTGGAGAGTTGCCACGCGTCGCCATATGGTGGGCATCATAGAGGCGAAAAAACTGCGCATAAGGTATTGCAATCTAGTTTCTTTTGGCCTACTCTGTTTAAAGATGTTGTTTTGTTTGTGAAAGGTTGCGATCAGTGTCAGAGGATGAGCACCATTTCGAAGAGGCATGAGATACCATTGAACAACATACTAGAGGTGGAGATCTTTGATGTGTGGGGGATAGACTTTATGGGACCATTCCCATCGTCCCGGAGAAATCAATACATTCTAGTCGTTGTGGACTATGTGTCTAAGTGGGTGAAGGTTGTTGCATTGCCAACAAATGATGCCAAAGTGGTTATCAAGTTCATTCGAAAGCACATCTTCACCAGGCTTGGAACGCCAAGGGCGATAATCAGTGATAGAGGTAAGCACTTTATCAATAACTCAGTTCATAGTCTGTTAGCGAAGTATGGGGTGCGGCACAAAATGGCTACAACATATCATCCCCAAACTAGCGGACAAGTAGAGGTATCAAACAGGGAGGTCAAACAGATCCTCCAAAAGACTGTGAATGCCCAAAGAAAATATTGGGCTAACAAGTTAGATGATGTCTTATGGGCATATCCGACTGCTTACAAGACACCGATAGGGACTTCTCCTTATCGAATGGTGTTTGGGAAAGCTTGTCACTTACCAGCTGAGTTAGAGCACAAGGCATATTGGGCAATTAAGAAGCTGAATCTAGATGCTGAGTTAGCAGGCAGAAAGCGGATCACACAGCTGCACAAGCTAGAAGAGTTTAGGCTTCACGCCTATGAAAATGCAAAGTTGTATAAAGAGAAGACCAAAAGGTGGCATGCCAAGCATATTGTGTCACGCACATTTGAGCCTGGTCAGTTAGTGTTACTTTTCAATTCTAGATTGAAGTTTTTCCCAGGGAAGCTTCGGTCTAAGTGGAGTGGTCCGTTTGAGGTGGTGAGGATGACTCAACATGGTGTTGTAGAATTGCGAAACAAGGATAAGAGCTCTACTTTCCTTGTAAATGGTCAACAGGTCAAGCACTACTTCAGTACGGATGTAGATCGTGAGCTTGAAGCGCTCACATTGAATGATGAATGAGTCATGAGATAGGTCGTGCCGCGACGTTAAATCAGGCGCTACACGGGAGGCAACCTGTGAACCATTGTAATAGTTAGGATTTATTTGTTCTTATTTGGTTATTTCAATTCTTAGGAATTAGTAAAAAAAAAGGATATATCAAGAAAAATGAAGAAGAGCAAGAAGGAAGTAGTTGCGCGACACGGGACAGTTTGAGATGTCTTGCCATGGGTTGTTGGTTGCTCGATTTTCAGGGAGTTGGGAAGGGTGTTTTATGTTGTCATTATCGTGTGTTTCGTGTTGGGATATGTGTGTTTCAAAGTCTGAGTAGAAATACAGTGTTGCCTGATTCTTAGGTTAAATTGCTAGGGTATATAATATGTGGGAATGTTTGACAAATTGTTTTTGGGTGTACTCGATTCCTTACGTGTAATATGCCTTGGTTAATCATAGGTTTCTGCGTTGGGCGATATTGTGGTTATAGGTGATTTTGAATTCTTGAGTAAAAATCACTTAATGTTCATTGTTGTTGATCTAGCATGAGGTAAAGATTTGTGGGTTATGTTTGCTCGTGATCAATTATGTCTGAATGGTTAATGATTGATGTAGTGTTTGCAGTGAATTGAGAGGTAGTATGGGGGTTTGACTACCTCGACTATTGAAGGTCTAGTATCTTGTATTTTGGCAAACACGGAGTGAACGATTACTGTTGCTAGGAAATGTTGGCCGGGTGGTAGTGTGTACTCAGGGGTCTATATTAGTTGTGTGAAGTGTTGAGTAACACTTTCTACTTGTTTTGTGGTTGTCTCTGATATTGTGATGCCTCACCGATTTGATGAGCTTGGTAATTACTTGAGTATGTTGCTGGTAAATTGTGGGAAGTCTGAGTACCTAAGCTGAGACTGCATTGAACTAAGTGTGGGGTGGTGTGCGCACACCACCCATATTATTATCATTGTTTTGCAGTCACGGGGGTTGAACTTTGGTATATTTTGCAGGTCACCATATCTAGCTCACACATACCCGGCAAAGAAGTGGCCACATCAAGCAATAGGAAACATGTCCGGAGTGGGAATGTCCCACCCACACCTGCACTTCCCAGGGATCAAACTAGGCGATTTGGGGTGAAGGTTGTTACCAAAGAAGGAAAGGCTTGGTATAAGAAGCACATCGAGGCCACTTATTTTTCTGATGTCTGTGTTGACTGAGACAGTCTGGCACGTGAGTTCCCCCAGATCCGGAGGCGAATTAGGGAGCTCAGCATGGAGTTCATCTTTGCTGACCCAGACGAATGTAACTTGCACATGGTCTGGGAGTTTTACACCAACTAGGCACCCGAGGCGCGATCCCACTATGTGACGGTGCGTGGTAAGAATGTGCCCATCACTCCCACAGGTATTAATGATATATTGGGTACACCGCAAGACACCGACCCACTAGTGCTGACAGGGCTGAAGATACGCCCTCCATACCAGGCCATCCGCCACATGCTATGCGGGCCACAGTCCATGGCTCAATGGACTAAGCATAGTGGGAAGAGATATCATAAATCTCTCATATACGCTCACATGCTGCGGGAGACACGTGTTTGGCTAAAGGTGGTGATGAACTAACTGATCCCGGGCTTACATTACACTGATATCACGCGTGACTGGGTGTGCCTGGTTTATGCTTTGATGACTGGCATCAAGTTGAACATCGGAGCCATCATAAAATCTTCGATGAGGAAGGCTCGGGTTCACAAAGGACATAGGTATGCATTTGGTGGTCTGATTACCAAAATGTGTCGTGTTGCAAGTGTCCCTAAAGAGAATTTAGATTACATGGCACCACTTTATCCAGCACCGGTGGACATTATTCGCATTAAGGGGCCGGACACTGACTTCGGCCTAACACTCACCACCGTAGAGTGCCACAGGAGAGATGAGTTGATCATGGCTATGATGTATGGCCTTGAGATGTTACGACACAAGACTGGTGGTCGGCCATCTACTGATCTGGAAATAGGGGAGGTCAATATGCGTTATCTTCTGAATGACCATGCTAAAGCATTACTTGGCATTGGTCCTGAGTTCCGGGAGCCGACTGAGAATGATATCCCGACTGATGAAGAGAACTTGCATACCAGCTCAGATG